AAAAAAAAAAAAAAAAAAAAAAAGATATATAGATATATCTTACCTGTGTATTACAGCTTCTGGTAACCAGAGCTTTTACCCCAGTCTCATGGGCCCTTCTAGTTTGGGGTTGATGAATGCCAACCTCGTGGATTACCTCTTCCCTACTAGATTCCTGGTAGGGCATACTGGCAGTGCAGCTTTCATATCAGTAATTCTTTAACAATTGCTTGTGATCATAAGATTTTGTGTTTGAGCTGTTTTTCTAGGCGAAGCCTATAGATAAGAAGCAAATCAAAGGGGTGGGTGTGGGTGACTGTCACTGGTGGGAGCTCAGCAGAGCAAGGCTGATTTCTCTGTGAAGGCATTACTATTCCATTGTTCACTTTGAATAGGTCCTGGAGAATTACAACAAGGGCAAGACTGCCTTACTTTCCGCAGCCAAAGTAATGGTGAGTCCCACAGAAGTGGATCTCAACCCGGAGTTGATCTTCCAGAATCAGCCCTTGCCCAGTGGGCCTGCAGTACAGGTTGGAACTGGAGCCATATTAGCAGACAGAAGGAACAGCAGCATCAAGTAAGGATGTGCCTTTTAATTTTTTTGAAAGATTTGCTCTGAGCCTTTGGAGGGGTTATTGCCTCCAGCTGGGTATTTAGTTGCTCTTTGAATGCTTCAAGTAAGCTGTGTGTGAGTAATAGATTCAGTGACTCCTCAAGTGGGAAGTTTATCTAGGACGGGGGTGTCAAACATATGGTCTACAGGCCATATGGTCTGGGACGTGGGACTCAGACTGGTTCTGCACACCACATGCAGTATCTGATGTGCAAATTGGAACTGGCACCACAGGTGCTCTGCATGGCCTAGGGAAGCCAACGTGAACCAACATGCTATGCCCTGCTGAACAAGCCGGAGTGCTGGTTTTAGGGCTGGTCTGGATTGGGCTGTGCTGGAGCCAGTGCATGGGACCAGTCCAGCCATACACACCACTTGCAGATCATGGCAGCCCTGCTCTGGGGCTTGCACTGCAGGTGGTGTACAGGGCCAGCACAGGTTGCATGCTGTACTCCACTGGACCAGTTGTGCACGCTGGTGCTGGCACAGCCTGATCCTGACCAGCCCCAGAGTTAGCACTCTGGGGTCAATCTGGCAGGTCACAGCATGCAGCAACCACCCTGTGTTGTTCCCCTGCATTATGTGCAGCACTCGCAGCACAGGTTCCAGCCCACGCACCACCTGCAGCACAAACCCCTGGGGGGGGCCGATGTGTGCTGCACAAGGGGCCAGCCTGAGGAGCACACTGCCCATGGCACTCCGTTGAACAGACCTGCGTACTGGCCATGGTGAGGCCATTTTAGCCTGCAAACTGGTCCAGCAACACCCATCCGGCCTGCAGCACCAGGTGAGTTTCACCTCCCTGATCCAAGAGATAAAAAGGACTCTGTCATGTTAAGAAAGGAGTGTTTTTGATTTGTTTAAGGTGGAGGGGAACATGGACAGTGTCTGCTCATCTTACTCTCTGGCTATAAACAGATGCCACAAAATGAAGTGGATTAGTTATGTTGGGTTGTGTCCTGGCACAGCTGATCTACTTCACTGGGTGACACAGACATTGTCCTTGTCTCACAATGTTGGGCCTCTGCTGCTCCTAGGGTTTCATGGGCCAGATCTTGTGGGACAGCTGCAAGTAGGGTAAACCCCAAGTTCCCTGCTTGCAGATGTGTCCCCTCAAAATCCCCAAGTAGGGGATTCCCTGGGCATGCATATGGGGCTTCTGTGACCTGACTCAGAGCATGCCTCCACAAATGCTGGGGGATTGGTTGGGCACAGGTTTGTAAGTGGGGAACCTGGGGTTCCCCCATTTGAAGAGGTGCTGTACAGTTTTTATGGTGGTACAGTGGTGATGTCTGTTTCCAGCCTGTGACTAATTGTGCATTCCTCCCCCAAGACTGGGATTCAGTGGTAGGGCAAAACTTGCAATCTAAATCTCCATATTCGTGTACCCAGTAAATGCGATAGTGTTTATTAGTAATAAGAGGGGTGTGAGACTCTCTTGGTGAGGACAAGGCCTTCATTTTTATAGCACTTGGTGTAAAGTGTCTGCCTAAATGATTTACACTACAGCATAAATAGGGTTGTTGCAATTGCAGAAGCCTCAGGAGGAGAGAGAGACAGAAAAAAGTATGGATGCCAGGAAGGGAGGCAGAAAGGATATATTCTTCAATGAGATCTACAAGTTGCTATGAGTTCCTCTGTCAGGAATTGTGGGGAATAGGGATCTGATTCTGAGGGTGGTCAGATGTTTGGAGGCACAGGGAAGGAGCTATTGCTAGATGAGCAGAGGGAGTGAGGACTGGAGTAGGCAGTGATTGTGAGGACAGCTGAATTAAAATTATAGGGACTTACGAAAAAAGGTAACTTTCATTTGGAATCAGCAATGCATGGAGAGCTAAGAAAACCACTAGAGGAGAGGGGGTGAACATGCTTACATTTCTTTTTCCCTGTATGAAGGCTGGGGGCACATTGCCCATGCTAGAATTTGGAGAGCTGGCATCTGGGGAGGCCACAGAGAGGAAAATTTGGAGTAGACAGTGGGAGAGGAAGTGAAGACTTGTATATTGATTTCAAAAGACATAATTGAGATTGGCTTCTGTGGATGGTGTTGTACTGATGACATGCAAGTTTGTAGGTGTAATAGATATGAGAGGAGAAGATCAGGTCCAAGTCAGGCATCCCACTAGGATCCTAAGCAGTAGGAGTAAGTGGGAATCAAGGATAGAGACAGAAGATATGGAGTTGTGTCTGAGGGGTAGCTTATGTCCACAAGAAGCACTTTCAGATGCTAGGGGAACTTGAGGTAAAGCCACATGCATGTCTGGCCAAGATAGGCAGAGATAGGTTACAGTAGTCATTCAAAGTAGTAATAAGAGATCCCTTAGGAATTCCTCCAAATTTCTCTCCATCTCTCCTTTAGCTAAACTGTGCAATCCCTTTTTTACATTTCTCAGAGTCTATCATCATTAGTCACTACCAGAGTAAGCCCACCTCCCTGAAAAGGCCATCCCATCTTGTGATGTAGTTTTTTAGCAGTCCTGGTAATAAGCTGGGGATTCACAAAGGAGAAGGAAGCAGATGAGCCTGGGGATAGTTTCATAGTTTCTAGGGTCAGAAGGGACCTTAGCAGATCATCTAGTCTGACCCCCTGCCATGGCAGGAAAGAGTACTGGGGTCAAACGACCCCAGCAAGGTGTTCATCTAACCTCCTCTTAAAAACCCCCAGGGTAGGAGCCTGCACCACCTCTCTTGGAAGTTGGTTCCAGACCC